GGGGGGGGGAGGTGGCGCGAGAGGAAATGAGAAGAGAGAGGGGGTTGTTGGATGAGCAGCAATGAATAGAATACGAGGGGGGTAGGTCAGGCAGGAAAGAAAAGGAGAAGGGGGGGTTGGGGGGTTGGAGTACCGCTATAATTATTTATGAGAATTAATATGTACTTTATTTATTACGGAATTGTTTCGTATTGCGTAATTTCGCGTAGTTATGCCTTAATTACGCGAAACTAGACTTTCTTTCGTAAACGGAATAAACGCGTAATTACGCGTAATGATCCTGCATAAGTGAAAGAAAGTGTAACGCCTAATTACGCGTAACATAATTACGACTGGAAACCCTAAGTCAATTGAATCATGTCAGTCTAAAGTTTCACCCATAGGAAAACTGATCCTTATCGACAAAACCCTGAGTCGTATTGATCTATGATTGGTCCTTAAGGCATATTGTATTTAAGTTGTTAGTTGAGTTGGTAACTACTAATAACTTTATTTTCTATACTTTCTCTTTAATTAGATTTAGCAGCATTTTTACTCTCACTGTAATTTTGCCACCAACATTTCAGGGACCATTCACTGTAATTTGAGGGTTAATTAAATAGTCTATTATCTTTTCATTGTCATTAGTCTTACTTTTCAAAAACATTCAAAGTTCAAGTGCAATCATATGATACTTTTGCAAAGATATTATTTGATTCGCTTTGTCATAGTCATGGAATTAAAAAAATCAAAAAATAAATTAGATTTTAGTTTATTCTAGATATCTTTAATTATTTTCAAAATTATTTTAAAATTGTCTTTTTTCAAAATATAACTTATTTTAAAAATTTGAGGGTTTGATACGTGTTCTCTATTTTCCCCAGAATTATTGAGGAGTTGGAATCCAGGAACGGGTTTCTATGAGAATCAAAAGTTTTTATATTTTTTTCATATACTGACTGACACTTGTTGTCATGGAAGTAGGATAATTTTAGATTTAATTTAGTTGTTGTAAATTAAAAGATGTTTAAATAGTGTCTACACAAAGTTATCATACCTTTCTACTGGAATTCTGAACGACAAATCAAGTTTTTCTCCCGTCATAGATATTGTTGAAAAGTAAGACTAATACAAATAAAAAGGCTAATTAGTTTTCCATGAAATTATAAAATACCAGTAGGTTAAACTGCCTTTTTAAATTTGAAGATATTAGTCTGATGGAACCAAAATCTTTAAGAAGCTATTTATAAAAAATCTTTTATTATTATCTTTTATCTACTACTGGCAAAACTAGTGTAAAAAAGCCAATTTTTGCTAGATTACAATTTTAGATAATATACATCACAGACTTTTGTGAAATCTCCTGATAACCTAAAAACACTTTGCCAAACTCCATCTGCTATTGTCTGAGATGGATAGTATTTAAAATCATTGTGATTAATGTAAAACCCATTCTGTTTAGGCACATGGAGGATCAAATATGGAACAGGTCCAGTAAAAAAAATTTTATTCATAAATTGTATTTTGAAGATGTTACTTAGTACATTTTTAATCTAATCATTTTGTTTATATTTTTCCTTATGGAGGAAAAACTTGGTAGCTTGTAATTTACTTGTGGTTTCAAAATATACTAGTTTTCTGTTGAGGTTTTTGTAACCTTGAACACCAATTGAATTATATAGGATAACTATATTAATTCAAATCAAAGAATATTGTAGTTAGATTTTGATTCTACTGGAGACCAGCTGAGGGATTTCATTTTCATTATAAACCCCCTGTAAATACGTCTAAATCACTCCAGTGGAATTATAAACCCCCTGGAAAGATATTTAAATCCCTCCAGTGGAATGTAAATCACCCTGGGTAAAGTTTTAAATTGTAAATTGCCATTTTTCAAAACCCTCCAGTGAAAATAATATTCCTCAGGTGGGCTCCAGTAGAGTCAAATTTCTTACTATAAACTTCCATGAATCTATTATTTTGATCCTTAAATTGTAAAATTGCATAGTCCTTATCAGCTTACAAAGGCTTTAAGATTGTTATTAATTTTTCATAACCATTAAAGGGAGTGTTCGCGAAAAATGAAAGGGGGTATAGGCTTAATGTGATAAAAAAGAGCTTTTGATCGCTACTAATCTTACTTCTATCTGTTGTGTCTATAAGTAGAAATTTTTTTTAAATGACTCACACTGAAGAACGTAGTGTCCATACAAATTCAAAAAGATGCGACATTCAACTGGGATTGTAAACAAATCAATTTAATTCCGAATAAATCATTCAGTTATTACAAACATTAGTCATCGATTATTTTTCGACGCATTCATAAATAGATGATATTTTATAATATTTTGTATTTTTCATGATCTGAGAGTTACTTTTGAAAACCTTTATTCCTGTTTTGAGGATTTTTGATAATTAAGACGGCGTTTTCATATTTTCAATGAATGTATGAAAATCCAATTATTTTTAAAATTATTTTTAAGAAAAAACAAAATCAAAAATATTATGAAATATTAACTTATACAAATGCGTCGAAAATTAATCGATGACTACTGTTTTTAATATCTGAATGATTTTCTTTGGAATTAAATTGATTTGTTTATGATACGAGTTGAATGTTGCATCTTTCTGAATTTGTATGGACACTACGTTCTTCGGTGTGAGTAGTTTTTAACAATTTTCTCCTTGTAGACACAACAGATAGAAGAAAGATTAGTAGCGATCAAAAGCGCTTTTTTACCGCATTAAGCCTATACCCCCTTTCATTTTTTGTGAACACTCCCTTTAACTTAAAAAGTCAAATGGGTATTTAACTCACAGGGACTGTAAGCGTAGTTTCAACTGATCCTCTAAATTCATTCAATACCCTTGAAGCAATTGTTTAAAGTACAGAGATCTGTTTGTGGAAATATCTAGGTAGCCATTGAATCATTCCAAATACTGCGTTTAGTGCGAACTGATCCTTCACTAGGGTCTTTTGCAAATATTGTCATTTTTACGTTGAAAGCTGCTTTAAACATTGGAGAGTAAATTATTTGTTTTCTTAACCCTATAAAGCTGGGGGGTCTGAATTTCTGGCACACCCTGCCCCCTAGAAAAAGGTCTTATGAATAAAATGCATAGTCATGACCCATTTTTACAAGGCCAGCTTAAAGAAGAAAAAAGTCAGACTGGCAACTTTAATAGTTTGTGTGCTTGAGAGGGTTGAACAAAATGCCAAAAAAGGGTCAATAAAAAGTAAAATATAATTCTTTTGTCTAAAAAAAATATCATGATGTGACACATGTTTCTACATCCATTTTTTCAAAATTATAGTATTTTAAATGTGTAGCTTTAATCAGAAAAAAGTCGTATAGTGTTTTGGATTATTTTACAAAAGTCAAGTCAAAAAATTGAGATAGTGTCCAAAATGAGAGTGCTAGGGCAAATAAATACCAGTTTGCTAACAAAGTGTTTAATAATTAAGCGGGTTTATTAGATTAACAAGGATATGTCTGTCATCCTTGATCAGTCAAAGGTTTAATAGGGCACTGTTGTGAACCAGGAATAGCCTCTTTCAATGAAAGGTGAAATTAAATGGCTCATACAGTCACTTTAAATCTTAACGCTGTGTTCTTATCTAACAGTTTTATAGATACCACTATATTGTATTATTTGTTTAGAAAACTTGTATTCCTCTTTATACATTACTTCTTGCTCTTGGTAATCCTACAGTTCATTACTTTTCACTGGACATAGAGGGGGCGGAATTAAAGGTTTATAATTTTTTAAGGTGTTATGATATTTCATAGAAGTTCAATTCATTATTATTCATTTTATTTTATAATAAAATTATAAATAACAAATTTCATATATGACATTTTAAGGACATGGTAGATTTTTTATAAAAAGTACATTTTATATGAAGTAGCCGATTTTTTATAAAAAGTATAAAACAATTTTAGAACAAACAAACTAAACTTAAAGGGTACCACTGAAAATCGGACAGGCCACTCTATCTAACTATCTATCTATAAATCTAGGTTTTGAAAGCTATACCTTGGCATCTGGTGGATATATGGTTGGTAGGAATAGAGACAAATCATATCGGAGAATTTGACAAAACAGAGACAAGGTTTAGAACTTTAATATAAATATTTGTCTTTTTTTGCGGTGGGAGGGGGGGGGTTGTTTATGTGCATACACTAGCCAAATAAATAAGTTTATGGTGTAATCTGTGATGGTACTGAAAAAGACTCTATTAACAATTTTCTCCTTATAAATAGAAGTAAGATTAGTAGCAATCAAAAGCGATTATTTTTTAGAGTTTTCTTCTCCAGTTAAGATATAGGAAGCTTAAAATTTTATTTTGATATTTTTTGTAGCAAAAGAGAAAATAATCAAATAAATTGAAATTTTTTTATGTAAAAAATGCTCAAGATTACAACAAGTCTTTTTTCTTAGATTAAGATTTAAAACCCTGAAACCCTATGTTTGACAATATAATATCAAAATGAAGAACCTACAAAGTGAGAACAGTAAAATATGACAAAAAATGTATTGTTGTCATTAAAAAATTGTTGAAAGGCTTACAGAGTGATATCATGATAGATCAGCCACTAGATGATTTTATTACTACTATCAATCCTTGTAAACTATGCCATTTGATTGGATTATCATGTTAATACAATTTTTGTTTGCTTAATTCGTTATTTTTAAAATGTTTAGACGAGATTTACTGAACTATATGATTAGTCAGGGGTACAAGCATATTGGTACTATTGGCATAGATGATATTTTGATCAAACCTGATAAGGTAAAAATAAAAAGCATGAACAGAAATATTTAAATATATCATTTACTTCCAGAAAAGAAATTAAATTATTGCTGCAAACTTTGATTTGTACTCCACTAAATTATTGCCGCAAACTTTTTTACTTCCAATAACTTTGCAATCCATTGTTGTTGACAGCTTTGATATTTTAAACCATGAATTTTGTTTAAATAAATAGCCTATGTATGAAGGTCTTTACCGTCAGGGTCTAAAGTATAGGAATAACAAAAATTTTAGTTTTTGGAAGGTTTCTAAAGTTTTTTTATAGCCGGGCCCAATCTGGAATAGGTTATATATTTAGCGGACTTTAAAAGGGTCAGTTATCATAACTAATTAAAGCATAATCATTATTATCTGTTTACTTTAGTGTCAATATAGTTCTGTAACTTTGAGTAATAACTTTTGTTATTGCTCAATTCTTAATTATGTTTCAAGCAAGTTTAGTAACAAAATCAAATACATAAAATGGCATCTTCCTATTTCAGAGTTGTATGGGTCTCTATGCGGGTAAAGTTACATAAATCTATTTGAAAATTAAAACTCAACTTCGGACCTACTGCAATATTGGACCTACAACAGCTGTTTTTTTTCTATTATTTGAGGGTTAGACTGGGTCTAGACAATTTCTGGAAATGGATTGTTTTCAAGTGACCCTCCATTAAAATATAACTATGCCTGAATTAAAACGATACCCTTAGAATCTTTGTCTGATCTAGTTTAACTTAGGTCTCAATTAGATTAATTTCAATTGTGGTTTCTCTTCTAAAGTAATGTGTGCATTTCTAATTATGAATTATCATATTTAACACTTTAAATCTTAAAAGAAACAACAAAATCTTTCACATAGCTGATCAGCTGTGACATTTCACGGGTACCATAATAAGTTGGTCATTGTCATATTTGCATGGAGTGTCAAATGATATTATGCTTTCAGTCCCTTGGGGTCTAACAATTATCTTCCTTTTCAACAGCTTTAACCCTATCCTGGTTGGGCTAATATAAGTTCCAACCCCCCACCCCATACATAATAAAAGACCCTAGCCAATCTTTTCAAGGCCTGCTCAGAAAAAAAATTAGACCTCCATCTTTAATGGTTAAAGTGCAAGGGAAGACTTTGAAAAGTTTAAAATTAAAACTTTTTACCTTTGAAAAATATTAATATATTACATTACACACATTATTACATTCATTTTTTAAAGAATTTTTAAATAAATGTAGCTAAGTTCATAAAAAAGTTATGAACTATATCTGAGTTTTTGAATCCCAATGCATCAAAAAAAAAGCAAAATTAGTTCAGAACTATAAAGTTAAAAATGTCAAGAAGTTGTATTTTTAAGTTATTTAGAAAAAACACAGGGGGGGGGGGTAAACACCACCACCCCCTATCGTGATAAGGACAAGGTTCTCTCTGTAATATTTATAATATTTTAGGTTAGTGTAAGTGATGAGATGATTACCTATTTAATTTCACTGAAGAAAAAAAGTCAATATCCTAATGACCCGCAAATCTAGACAATTTTTTTTCCTAAATGATCTTAAAGAGACTGTTGGCCTAAGGTCAATTGATCCTTATTTTTGATGATCTAAACTATTAGCATACCTGATCTGGCAAAAAGTTAAAGAATCCATATATTTCCTGTATACATCAGCAAATTAAAATTATAAATTGTAAGATGGAGAAACAATGATATTTTTATTGTTTTAAGCATACTATTAAAGGGACTGTAAAGGAAAAATGAAAGGGCGTATAGGATGAGACCTGAGAATCTCAAGTTTTAAACGATACCTATAAGACATCTATCTTATGTTCCTGTCTCGAAAAATTGACATAAAACTGTGTCAAAATTATACCAAAACAGGCATAAGCCAGATAAATAAAAATCGTAGTATTAAATAGATCATATTCAATAATTACGCAACCAATCTGAAAACGATTATATCTCACAGCAACCTGAAAATCTCAGGTTTGCTCCTGTTATATTTTTTAAATTTTATTTTGCATTTTTTATAGATATGATTGATAATATTATTACATTTAATATGTATTACGTCATACTGCACTGTCATTGGCTGAAGTTATTGTGACATCAGACTATACTGACTATATGTAGTAATATTATCAATTATATCTATTAAAAATGCAAAATAAAAAATAAAAATTATAATATGAGCAAACCTGAGATTCTCAGGCTCCTGTGGGATATAATCGTTTTCAGATTGGTTGCATAATTGTTGAATATGATCTTTTATACAAAATTTGAAATATGCCTGTTTAGGTATAATTTTGACACAGTTTTATGTCAGTTTCTCTTATAGGTATCATTCAAAACCTGAGATTCTTAGGTTTCATCCTATACCCCCTATCATTTTTCCTTTACAGTCCCTTTAAAGGGAATCCTCAAGTAAATTAATCGTTTGAACTGCGGCAAAAGTCCCCAAAAAACATAAATCTATGTTACATATGTTTGCATTATTTGAGATATTCACGAACTTGATGCGTTTTTGTTGTTTTCTTGCTTTTTTAATCGTTTAATTATGAATGTAATAAATAATAAATACCTAATTCTACTGTTGCAACTTTTTTCAATGATAAGATAAGATTTAAGTTAAAAACTAAAAAAAAAGTTTTTTTTTCATACTCTGTGTTTCGCGAGTGTTTTAGTACCTTACTTGGACCTCGCTAAATATCCAAGTTAGTTTTAGCTATTCAAAGACCTTCCAATTCTCTCTCTCTCTTTATCCTAGTTTTTTTCTACCTAGCCATCTTTCTCCCTTCCCCTTGAATCAACACTTGGGTCTTCTCTCTTTATTCTTGATCCCAATATAGAGTTGGTAAAAATACAGGGGGTTAATTTTATGAACACACATATTTTTAGGAATGTATAAAATCAAACATGAAGAACAAGATTTAGATTGGACTTTTTTCAATTCTTTGTGAAGAGAATAAATAAAAACCTTTCAGTGCAGGTATCAGGTTACAGATACTTAAGTGGAAATAATCACTACATTTTGTATTCTGTAATTATTTGATTTGAAAATCAAGCATGATTTGCTTTCGAGAAAGTTGACATTTTAATAATTCAATGGAAAAAAGCTTTAATATAAATATTGCTTCCCAGGCACCACTTTAACATAATATTTTACAGTAAACATAAACAGTATTTTTATTTTGTGTATCTCCTGAGGCTTTCTCTCTCCTCCTCTTTATACATGAATATGAAAAATATATATATAGTTAGAAAAGCATAATTTTATGCAGAACACTGCGGGCGGGCAGAAAGATTTTTCATGGTACTGTAAAATCACTATCACTGCAGTTCAATAGTTCTTGTAATCATCATCACTCTCATCAGACTCATAGTTTCTAGAGGAATCCGGAGAATTGTTCTCCCTTGATGGGAATCTTGGAGATATCTTCCTTCTACTGGAGATAGATCTTGAATCTCTAGCTGGAGATCCTCTTAGAGAATACTGTCCAGAAGTGAATATTCCTCCACTACAGTCTCTTTTAGATTCACTGATGTGGACATATCTATTCCAGTCAGGAGACTGTGACCTAGCTCTCTTGGCTCCAGATGAAGATCCCTCCATCCGATCATTATAATCTGAGGCAGTGTTTAAAGGTTTAGGCCTGCTCTGGTACTCAGTATTTTGAGCCTCCAAAACTACCAAATCCTTTCTCTTCTTATCTAGAACCTGCCTTAGGTCTCTCCCAGAAGAACTGATTTCCTCAACTGATCCTTCAGTTGGTCGCAATCCTTTCTTTCCCAAAGCTTTCCAAACCTTTCGAGGAATGTACTGATGTTTGCCTTTGACCCTTGCATACATTTTCTTCTTACTGTTCCTCCACTTCTGGTTTCTCTTGTGATGATCACCTGGAACCTGGTTGTATATCTGTTGTTGAAGACCAACTCTACTCCTAGCAGAACCTTGATACTGAGAAATGTTAGCATGGAACAGTTCTTCTCTGACACTTCTGTGCTCTAGGACCTTTTCATCCTTTCTTCTAGTTGATTCTTCTTGTTGCACCACATTCTGCTGTCTTGATCTTACTTCTTCATCAATCCTAGGCACAGTGGCAGCTGGGACATTGAAGAGGAATAGATGCATCAGCCTTATTCTTTCATACAGACTTACTCTCTCTAACCAGAATGGCACAGGTATCTGGTCAAAGTCAATCTTGTTAATGTGTGACAGCAAAGAATTGATCTTGTTAGGATGCAGCCTTACAAACTACCAAGTACTTTAGCTTGGCCTGTCTGGGTTGCCAGTGCTGAAATATCCTTGTTAGAAATGGCACT